TGAAATACTTTGAAACTTTGCATGCTTATCAAGCTATATATAAAACAATTACATGCAAAAATTTACGGCGATTCAATATTGGATGCGCATGCAACGTCCGCTCAAAGTTTGCACGTGCGAAAGGTGAGAATTTTGCTCATTCGTGATTTCCAACAAATTCTGCTTTGCCACGACAGTTTAATGTCATTATATATGAATTTAATGTCAACTTGAATGAGTATTAAGTGGTATATTCAGTCAGTGATGGACCGATATGCTTACCTAAACACAAGGAAATGTTTTTAAAGGAAAAATTTCGAAATCGTTGAAACTTCCTCCTTATTATAATGAAGATATCAGTTTATATTTCGACTTTATAAAGTACCCTGACATTATAATCAAAAAGAGATGATATTTTACCAAAACCCATAATCATGGGTAGAGTGGACCGCTGCCAGTGTCTCTCTTTCCCAAACAAAAGGAAATGATATTAATTTGATTGACCGTTCTCAAATGCAAAATGATACCGAGAAGGAAATCGGTCGCTCGCTTTTCCCATTCATTTACAATTGTAATAGATTAAGAAGAACTACCCAAAGGCAGCTGTACTCGGCAATAAAGATTCAATAAACTTCAGCTAATGCAATAAGTGATAACTACCACCCTTACCCCGAAATACTAGGTATCGACCCGAACGCAACCCAAAGAGATTTTTACAGCATCTGATTGACATGTAATCAATCGAAAATTATTACAATTCGTAAGCCGTGAATGAATGGGAAAAGCGAGCGACCGATTTCATTCTCGGTATCATTTTGCATTTGAGAACGGTCAATCAAATTAATATCATTTCCTTTTGTTTGGGAAAGAGAGACACTGGCAGCGGTCCACTCTACCCATGATTATGGGTTTTGGTAAAATACCTTAACTAAAAAACTTATAATGGGGATGTTATTACAAAATAAAACACAGAATTATAATCTGGTATGGTAGAGGGGTAAGTTTGCGGCCCTGGCCGTAGTTTGTGACGTCGAATAGATAATTTGGGTTTGCTAGAGAAGTGACATAATGAGCTAACAATTTAATATCATTCATAAACATAAATATACAAAAACACTCAAATTCAACGTCTGGCACGTTTGGGAGCGTTAAGAGGTTCACTATCACTCCTCATTCTCTTGCCGGTTTTATTACGCCTTTCCTTAGTTCCTCTCTGATATAATCGTTCTTTCCGGTGATCTCTTTTAGTATCTCCAGTTTCATCTGAAACTGGGAAACCTTGTTGTGGAGTTTATCATCCTGCATAAAAAACAATTCTCGTCGCAGCTTCAACCGCAGCATTATAACATTTGCTTGAATCTCAGTCTGAAGACTGCTGTACCGGTCGAGTTTGTACTCATGTGATTCAGCGAAAATTAGTTCATACGACGACAAACTTTATAGCAAATAACGTTCAATCCTAAAACTACTACAAGACTAAATATATTAGTACACATTATTACAAAAGCATGGAATGCTACAACGGTGAGCAGGTATATGCATCTAGTGTGGAGCAAAATGGCGGTAATGGCATTGACCAACGAGAAGTGCGAAACGTTGGAGCTAAATATGGTTTGATTGAGGTTTAGGGTTAGTGTATCTAATATTTCTTAATTTTTTAGCTGGGGAAAATATTACTTTAATAAGTAAATTGTTTTGATTCCTAATTCTAGTACGACGTCGGTCGGTGGGTGTCTGGTACCCGTTTCTAATCATGGTTTTATTACGCCTTTCCTTAGTTGAAGGGAAACCTTGTTGTGCAGTTTGTCATCCTGCATATTCCGTAGCAGTCTGTGAAGTTGTTCGATATGGAATTTCTGGTCTCGTGTTACGTCTCCTGTCGTAACAGAATGGCAAGTCTTTGAAAGGGTCTTCATCTCCAAAGAAAGAAGAGAAAGTAGCAAAAGGATCGCCGTGAAACTGATAGTTGTGAAAGTTATTAGCGCCTCCGGGACCAGGTCCTCCTCCCATACCTCCCTTCAATCCCTCCTCCCCATACCTGTCACACGTCTCCTTCTTATCCGGATCACTTAATACCTGGAGCATGGTTTAATTAGGTTAATTGGTTAATTACTTCCAATTATCACGTGACATCAGATAAAATTCAGGAACAGACAATATCTAGGTTAATTTAAAATACATATTCTGAAGTGAAAAATCGAAATAACTGTATCCACCACGGTAAGAGCCTCACTTCGAATGCCTCAGCGATTTCTTTAAATTTATCCTCTTCTCCAGGATTTTTATTTTTGTCAGGATGAAATTTCAGTGCTGATTTTCTGTAAGCTTTCTTGATCTCCTGTGAGTGTAGCTGATGATCATATCCAACTTTTTGGAACAGGATTTCTCTCAATTTTGAGTTTTAAGGTATTAAATGTGGCCTCAAACGACTTAGTAAAATTCATCGTAAAAAGGGCCAAACATGGCAGATTTAAGGCTTAAAATGCCTATAACTCACAAAGTATCCGTTTTGTTTGAAATAATTTTTACAGAATCGTAATCAGCTTGAGAAGACGAATCTTTTAGTACCAAATAGGTGATTTTAGAAGACAAATTGTCTTAAATAATTTTCTAGCTCGAACACAAGAGTCCCCCCTTGTATAAATTTTGTACAAATTGCTTGAAGATTTTAATAGCTTTTATATTATTATTAAATGAAAGTTCTAAACAATGGATAGTTAAAAACAACGCCTAAGTATATCAAAAACTTTATTGTAATTTCTGCCAATATCTCTTGTCATAAGCTAAATTACTGATTGATTAATCTTTATATGAAAATATTATTCGTATAAAGATTCTGACAGCTTTGTCAGTTAATAATAAAATAACTCAACGGAGCTTGGTAAAGGAATGGGGTGAGATGGTTATCTCATTTATTCAGTAGCCCCAATCGTTACATTATACATTCTTTAGTATATTTTAGATTATCAAGACCACTGTTGACAAGATTTTTCGTTAGAGAGTCGAAAGAACTTGAAAGGTCCTGCAATAAATCTATAAATGTGAAATAATTTGTATATAATAAGTGCGACAGAATTGGGAAAGGTTTCAATATACTTCATTACTTCAAAAACATTAATATGTAACAGAGATTGATTCCCAGCTAATATTTTATATTTCTTTATTTAAATGAGAAAAAAGTAGAGTAAAGTAAAAACTATGACATAACATCATCACACACCAGGGACAAAAGGATTTCGCGGCATGTACGAAATCGCGAAATTTCCCATTCTCCGCGACAAATTTTATGTGTAGTTTAATGTATAGCCTGTTAAATTTCGCGGTACCGCGAAATTTGGCCAAAATAATCGCGAAATCCTTTTGTCCCTGTCACACACGTCTACAAAGTATCAAATCACTATATGGAAAAATATAAATATCTTACCACCAAAATTAATAAATTATTAACTACAAAATTATTTAAAGAAATTTCAAAAACATTTCAAATAAATTCAAAAAGCATCCCCAAATGATAACCCTATTCATACTTCCCAGTGGTATAAAGATTTATAAATCGTTTTTTTTGCCACAAAAGGGTGGAAATAAAGATAATCGTTATGCTTCTCTTTATTACTAGCATAGCTAGGTCAAATTTTCCCTAATACTTCATTTGAAACATTCCAAAAATGTAAATCATTAGAAATATCCTTATAAATCATATCTTTCTTAAACCCTTCTAATTTAATCTTAAAACTTGAAACAGTCACCGAGTTCTTAACATCTGGAGGGAGTTTATTCCAGTAAGGAATAACTCGCTCTGGAAGAAATGAACTTTGGAGATTCCTAATCTTTCTCATACTCCCGCATCTCAGGACTGCCTGGCAGAAGTGGAAGTAGCAACCGTCCACCACTGCTGAGGGAAAGCCTTGAGAGAGGGAATTCCGAAGCGCCATCTCGAAGTCTACCATGATGGTCTGTGGAGCGAAGTCGTAAAGGGATTTAAGGAATGTGAAGCCCTCCAGGTAGATGTCGGTGTCATTGGAGGTCAGAAGCATGTAGACACAGGGAAAGACCCAGGGTGCTCCACACTGTGGGTAAACAACCTGTTCCTAAACACTTCTGAAACAACTTAGTTACTGCTTCGACAAAATTGTCGTCATAAGCCAAAGATTTTCCAACTTTGGATGGACTCCATCTGGACCTGAACTCTTAAAAATATTAACGTTTAAAAGTTGCTTCTTGATATCAGCTCTACTAACTTGTAAATCATCAATAACATCTTTATTATAATCCAAAGTATCATTTTTTGGCAGAGGGCCAGGTGGTTCGTTTACAAACACTGAGCTGAAAGCACTTGCAAGTACCTCAGCAGACTCAGCAGAACTGTCTGTACGCGTATCATCTCCCCTATTCAAAGAAATCACACTTGATTTAACTTGCCTTTTATTACGTAAATAAGACTAAAAAGACTTACTATTTATCTTTAAATTAGATGTTATCTTCTTTTCATAGTTAACTTTAGCTGTAACTTCAGCTACTTTTAAAATATGTAGCTTGCTATTAGCATAACTAAAATTAATATCAGATGGGTTTCTATCAAACTCACCCATGCTTTGTCCTTATTCTTTCTCATCCTCTTAAGTGCAGTTGATTTTCATGACAACTTGACAGGCCTGTTGTCGAGGTAAACAGAACCAGCTGGAACAACAGCGGCAACAGTCTCCAGTTTACCATGAAGTTCAGTCCACATTTCTTGAACATTATTATTTGTAGAACTATAGATGTGGATACTGGTGGGGAGGTGAAACACATTTGTTTACTTTAATAGTAAGCACATGTTCAGCGGGTTGAGGAGGTGAAACACATTTGTTTACATTTTTAGGGTAAGCACATGTTCAGCGGGTTGAAGAGATGATACACATTTTGTATTATAGAAGGCTTGTAACACTTGTAACGCTTTCTTGTTACCCCCCTTTGAAGGCCCCGAATTATTTTCTGAACGAAAGCTCAAAAATAACCGAGAAATCGACCTTCTTATTAACTCATTTTGATGACTGTTTCTGACCTAAAATTGCACGACCTAATATTCCTGCAGTCCCTGCAGTCGCTCCACCGCCTTCCATTATTCCTGCAGTCCCTGCAGTCGCTCCACCGCCTTCCATTATTCCTGCAGTCCCTGCAGTCGCTCCACCGCCTCCCATTATTCCTACAGTCCCTGCAGTCGCTCCACCACCTCCCATTATTCCTGCAGTTCCTGCAGTCGCTCCACCACCTCCCATTATTCCTGCAGTCGCTCCACCACCTCCCATTATTCCTACAGTCCCTGCAGTCGCTCCACCACCTCCCATTATTCCTGCAGTCGCTCCACCACCTCCCATTATTCCTACAGTCCCTGCAGTCGCTCCACCGCCTTCCATTATTCCTGCAGTCCCTGCAGTCGCTCCACCGCCTTCCATTATTCCTGCAGTCGCTCCACCACCTCCCATTATTCCTACAGTCCCTGCAGTCGCTCCACCACCTCCCATTATTCCTGCAGTCGCTCCACCACCTCCCATTATTCCTACAGTCCCTGCAGTCGCTCCACCACCTCCCATTATTCCTGCAGTCGCTCCACCACCTCCCATTATTCCTACAGTCCCTGCAGTCGCTCCACCGCCTTCCATTATTCCTGCAGTCCCTGCAGTCGCTCCACCGCCTTCCATTATTCCTGCAGTCGCTCCACCACCTCCCATTATTCCTACAGTCCCTGCAGTCGCTCCACCACCTCCCATTATTCCTGCAGTCGCTCCACCACCTCCCATTATTCCTACAGTCCCTGCAGTCGCTCCACCGCCTTCCATTATTCCTGCAGTCCCTGCAGTCGCTCCACCGCCTTCCATTATTCCTGCAGTCGCTCCACCACCTCCCATTATTCCTACAGTCCCTGCAGTCGCTCCACCACCTTCCATTATTCCTGCAGTCGCTCCACCACCTCCCATTATTCCTGCAGTCCCTGCAGTCGCTCCACCACCTCCCATTATTCCTGCAGTCGCTCCACCACCTCCCATTATTCCTACAGTCCCTGCAGTCGCTCCACCACCTCCCATTATTCCTGCAGTCGCTCCACCACCTCCCATTATTCCTACAGTCCCTGCAGTCGCTCCACCGCCTTCCATTATTCCTGCAGTCCCTGCAGTCGCTCCACCGCCTTCCATTATTCCTGCAGTCGCTCCACCACCTCCCATTATTCCTACAGTCCCTGCAGTCGCTCCACCACCTCCCATTATTCCTGCAGTCGCTCCACCGCCTCCCATTATTCCTACAGTCCCTGCAGTCGCTCCACCACCTCCCATTATTCCTGCAGTCGCTCCACCACCTCCCATTATTCCTACAGTCCCTGCAGTCGCTCCACCGCCTTCCATTATTCCTGCAGTCCCTGCAGTCGCTCCACCACCTCCCATTATTCCTGCAGTCCCTGCAGTCGCTCCACCACCTCCCATTATTCCTGCAGTCGCTCCACCGCCTTCCATTATTCCTGCAGTCGCTCCACCACCTCCCATTATTCCTACAGTCCCTGCAGTCGCTCCACCACCTCCCATTATTCCTGCAGTCGCTCCACCACCTCCCATTATTCCTACAGTCCCTGCAGTCTCTCCACCACCTCCCATTATTCCTGCAGTCGCTCCACCACTGCAGGAATAATGGGAGGTGGTGGAGCGACTGCAGCGACTGCAGGAATAATGGGAGGTTTAAGTAAATTTAAGTAAAATGTATAACTGTCATAGAAATATCGTATAATCGAAAATATAACTAAACTAGTGTAATGTATTGTAATTGGGTTAATTCTAATTAAATTAAAGGTTAGGCTAATTTTAATTAAAAATACATCTGATACAGGCTGATGGGGGTCCATAACACCAAGAGCTGCCATAACTTTTGACATGATCTCAAATGTTGCAATATCATACGTACTGTATGACATATCTCGTTATCGATACTATATAACTTTCAACAGACGACAGGAGACATCATCATTCGACCATCTACACTTCACAACTATAGCAATGGAATACTACGAACTTTTCAATCCAATTCCCATATCCCTACCTAGTCTATCCCCATCTAGTATCCAACCTCTACCCCTAGAAGCTTACATCAACCTGGACAACATCCTTATCCCGCCCCATGCACGATCCTTCTAAAAGTTCTAACCACATCCCGGGGGAAGCCCATGATCGTTCCCGAAGACAACTTATTTCAGCAACGATCGGAACAGAAAAACAACATTAGTTACAGATGTAACCTATACCACGCGAGGAATGGAAGTTGTCCTGCTACCGTTACTACTTCACGCACAGAAAGTCTGGAAGGAGTTCGATCTGAAGAGTCTCAATGAAATGGTTCACCTCTACATTTCCTCTGACGTTGTTCTCCTGGATTTGGTGCTGCATCAGTATAGGACAGAATGTTTATCATTTTATAATTTAGATCCTGTTCATTATTATACCGCTCCAAGTCTTACGTGGGATGCAGGCTTAAAATTTACTAAAGTCGAGTTAGAATTATTCAGTGATCCTGGTATGTATACTTTCATTGAGCAGGCTATTCGAGGAGGAATCAGTACAATCACGCATCGGTATGCAAAGGCAAATAACCATCATCTCCCAGATTACAATCCTGAATTACCTGAAAGCTACCTCGGATACATTCATGCAAACAACCTCTACGGATGGGCAATGTGTCAGAAACTGCTTGCTTCGAAGTTCAAGTGGCAGGATAAACTTCTTACGGTCAGCGACATCGCGGCCTGGAACCCCGACAGGGATAAGGGAGCCTTCATCGAGTGTGACGTTCATACGAATCCTGAAGACCATGACAGATTCAATGATCTCCCTCCTTTCCCTGAATCTCTGGTGATAGAGGACGGTATGGTATCGGATGCTACTCGTAAAGCAATGAATAGAAGAGGGTTTTACTTTGCTGCTCTTCAAAAGAAGCTTGCATCTAATTTGTTTCCAAAGTTAAAGCATAAGATTCACATTGCCGCTTTACATTGTCTATTGGTGGTGTCTGCGATAAGATTCATAGGGTACTAGAGTTTGAACAGACGGATTGGTTAAAGAAATATATTGATTTTAACACCGCTAAACGACAGGCTGCTACTTCACAGTTCGGAAAATACTTCTACAAACTACTCAACAACTCGTTCTTCGGCAAGAGTATGGCATCTGTTAGGAAGAGGGTAAACAATATATTGCTAGAGAACGGAAAGCAGCATCAGTTCCAGACTAGCAAACCTGGATTCAAGAGGTTCACGATATTTTCACCAGAGTTAGTTGGACTGGAAATGGTAAAACCCACAATAACTTTAGATAAGCCGATTTACTTAGGGGCTGCTATTCTGGATATGTCAAAGTTGTTAATGTATAGATTCTGGTATGATGTTCTCAAGGTTAAATATAGTGACATTAAACTATGTTTTACGGATACAGATAGTTTACTTTATTGGGTTGAAACTCCAGATTTGCATAAAGATTTCAAGGATATGAGACGTCACTTTGACACTAGCAATTATCCCAAGGAACATTATTTGTTCAGTTTAACTAACAATGCAGTTTAATGAAGGATGAATTTGCGGGCAAGTATGGCTCAGAGTTTGTACGATTACGAAGTAAATTATATAGTTGCAAGATTCATGAAGCTGATGGTAAGATGGCATCTGTTTACATCTGTTCGTATCTGTTCACATCTGTTCACAGGAACTTAAAAAGTTAAAACTGTTCTAAGAGGCTTATAATATTTCGCATGGAATTAACTATTCTAAGATTTCATAAAATTAAAATTATTTTATAATTTCTATGTTACGTATTTCAGTTAATTATAACTTAAACTGCATCTGTTTATCTTTTTTTTTTTTATTAAATACTTTTCAAATTTTACAGAGTACAGCAATAGATGAATATAAAATAGAATCGTTCAAAATATCGCCCCCATCTGTAAAATATGATGGGCACCCAAACACGGTAAACACATAGTGAACTATGTCCGCAGTAACTTGGACCCATTACATCGAAATAATCTAAATCCAAAAATTTACAAACAAATCCATGGTGAATAACTGTGGATATAGAGTAGGGGGTGCACGATGAATATGATACTTTTTACATCATTTGTAATGTTTTAATATCATTTCAAATGATAAATCAAATCAAAATATAATGACACAAACATCATCACACATCATCAAAAATATATCTACTAAAGTTTTAAAATTATCTTTAATATATTGGCCTAAACAACCAAGTTAAAATGAATCTAATTTACATACTTTCCACTACTATTTTAGACGGCCCCAACGTTAATGTGGCTCTTGCTATGTGTTGGTTCAGCCGAATTAATTATTATATAATCAAGTTTATTTTTCTTGTTAGTTGTCATCCGGCCAAACATTAAGCAACTTATATTGCAGTACCATTTATCATTTAGTATATCAAAATATGTCATTGTAACTTTGCATGGCTGAAATGTAACGCTTGAATTATATATATAATGATTAATTGAATTTTCAAATAAAAAAAGTCTCTTTTTTGAAAGCCTCTAATCTTATTTTAAAACTTAACACAGTCCCACAATTCTTGATATCCGAGGGGAGTTTGTTCCAATATGGTCTCACCCTCTCCGGAAGAAAAGAACTGTGGACTTTCTTCATTTTACTGCTACTTTTACTGCATCTACTGTTTGATACCACATTAAGACCAGATCTGCTCATACTGAACAAACCAGCTCCGTAATTGGCCAAACCACTTATCATTTTAAAAGATTCAATGAGGTCCCCACGTATTCGCCGCTCTGCCAGCGTTGTTAAATTGAGGATTTCCAGTCGACGACTGTATGGAAGAGTACCCACCTCGTCAATCAGACGGGTAAACCGCCTCTGGACGCTCTCCAGCTCCAAGATGATCCCCCAACTTCCATGAGCCGCAACTGGACTCCACAATTGAACATACATACATGTTACATGGTAAGGTCTCCTCCTAGTCGTTGGAGTGGCCTGCATCACACACATCGCGTTGGCGGCGTAACATATGTCTCCACTGTACTCGGTTGGTAGCCAAAGCTTCTGTTGTGTCGTTGTCGATGTTTTCAACACCTGTAAACTTAGCAGCATCTTCGAGTACGCAGGACTTCCAGTTCTTACGGGGTCTGCCCCTTGACCTCTTTCCATAATTTGGCTTCCAGTTCAACAGAAACCTCGGTAGTCTAGAGTCTGGCATTCTAACTACATGTCCATACCAACGTAGCCTGGCAGCACTGATGAAAGTCTCAACTGACTTGATGCCAGCCCTTTTAAGAACTTCGTCGTTTGTCACATAAAAGAACCATTCAATCCTAAGGATCCTTCTCAAGGAGGTTTGATGGAAAACCTCGAAACGTTTCATCTGCTTTTTGGCGGTGTTCCAGACTTCAGCTCCATACAACAAGATGGTGAGGACAGCAGCCCTATAGATCCTGATCTTGGTTGGAGTCTTTATAGTTCTGCTATTCCAAATGTTCCAGAGCTGATGAAAGGCGCCATTAGCCTTCTGGATACGGACATCCAGGTCTCTGCTGATTGTCCCATCCCCACTGATAGTTGCACCCAGGTAGACAAAGTTGCTAACCTGCTCGACGGGTTCACCCTCAACCGACAGCTCAATACAATCATCCTTGATGAAAGGTCGCTGGGAGGCGCACTTGCTTACAGCCATGCATTGGGTCTTCTTTGCATTTATTCTGAGCCCAGCGTAGGAGCTGTAATGAACTAATAGATCAGTTGATTCCTGTAGGCCTTCCCCTGAGTTGTCCATAATAGCCATGTCATCAGCATAATCGGTGTCCAGAATGACCTTTTCCTCGACCGTCTTCATCTCTTTCTGCAGCACTGCGCCTTGACTGATGATCTTGTTGGTCTCAGCCAGAAATGCAGAAATGTTTAGGCAGAAATTAAAGACAGGACGTGCTTGAATGTCACCCTGACCTGTGCCTGAGTTAACATCAAACCAGTCTGTCAGCTCCCCATTAACCAAGTTGGTCGTTTAGCTCCGGACAGTCTATGCAACGTCTATGCAACGTCCGTGCAACAACAAAAGAACCGTCTATGCAACGTCTATGCAACGTCCCTGCACAATGAACACTCTATGCACACTCCCTGCACGGTCAGTCTATGCAACGTCTATGCAACGTCTATGCAACGTCCCTGCACAGTACCATATGAACACCGGCTACTAGCCGGCTACTAGCCGGCTAGTAGCCACTTTTGTAATAACAGCTCCTCGACTACACATTAACAACCGGCTACTAACCGGCACTTGAAAAGTGGTCACTAGCCGGCTACTAACCGGCTACTAGCCGGCTAGTGACCACAAAGTGGCTACTAACCGGCTACTAAGCGGTCACTAGCCGGCTATTAGCCGAGCTCTAAAGCAGACCTATTAGTAGCCGGTTCTAAACCGGCTACTAGCCGGCACTTGAAAAGCGGTCACTAGCCGGCTACTAACCGGCTACTAACCGGCTAGTAACCACCAAGTGGCTACTAACCGGCTACTAACCGGTCACTAGCCGGCTCTAAAGCAGACCTATTAGTAGCCGGTTCTAAACCGGCTACTAGCCGGCACTTGAAAAGCGGTCA